CCAGTAACATCGTCGACGAGGCCGACCGGAAGCTGGTCTACCGCATCGCCCTCCTATACCACGTCGCCGGCGGCGCCGGGGGGACGCGGGATCCTGTCCCACGAGCAACCGCCCCGGTCTCTACCACAGTTTCCGGGAGAGTGGGCGCGGGTCTAATCCTTTCCTATCCGTGATACGCAGCGACGCCGGCTCGTTCCACCGCACATCGCCTGGAGCGTTGGTTGTTTATAATGAAGGGGGACCGCAGACGAGAAAGAAGATAGAAAAGAAAAGAAGAAAAGAAAAAAAAAAGAAAGGAAAGAAATTAGAAGAAATTGACTATAATGATCCCGCCAGCGGCGAGGGATCGATGCATTGGTGGATATCTTTGATTACGATTTGCGATCAGCATGCAGGACGTTGGGTATAACCAAGCGGTGGCTTTATCATGTGTTTTTGACCTTATTTTCTCGTGTTTTTTTCCCCCTTATATATATATATATTTATTTTTTCTTTTTCTTTTGTGATCTCTCCCGTTGTGCTGCAGGAATGGGCCGCGTGGTGGATCCAGAGATTATGGCGTGACAACTTCTCTGCACACTACACCTCTGGCATTCATGCCCATGTTCGTTATTCTGGAGTACCCATTGGGTGGCATTTTGTCTTAACTTGACTTGCACGGAAATTGACCGACTATCGAACGGATCGTTGGACCTAATTGTGGATGATAGTTTCTGCTCCCCTGTATGATAATCCAATTGACGAATGGACGAATGACGACCCCTTCTTCCCCTCTTGACATGGGATACGTACTGCACACCTGCTTAAAACTCTCCCATATACCTCCATCTTCCCTGGTATCGCCAAGGATTGATATCAGTTGAGACAGCCTTAGGCAGCCAGGTCCCACGTGGTCAGCACAGCAGCCAATCAGGACGACCCGGCACAATCAACACCAAACAGACCAAACGCCGCAATGACAGCACACCGTGGGCGGCCTCAGGATCCCAACTGGACGACATTCACCGCATCAACCCTGTCGTGGCTTTTCTTCATCCTGGACAACCGTCCATGATGGGACCAGAGTACCATCCCACTCACCCCCCCCACTACCCCCTAACACTATCCCACACGGCCCCCCCCCTGGGTCCCCATCCTGGTTCCGGTATCGCAATAATCATCAAGTGGTGTCGGGGGTTCCGAAGTGGTTCTTCACCAGGATTAATCAGGGCGGATGGTGCAAGATGAGGGGCCTATATAAGGACCGTCAGGTCCTGGGAAGATCCGGGACCTGTAGTTACAGATATCGCAAGAAAGAAGTCACGATAGTCTGCATCATGGCGGTTTTTACAGGTCTTCTAGCTTTTCATGCTTTATTCGCCAGGTGGGTCCCCTCCAAGAACCTAAAACTCCAAAGCATGGACAGATCGGCTAAAGATCTTCGCACAGCGTCTCGGGCGGCACTGGCCTTCCTGCCTCTGACTGCAACACGGTCGACGGCGGGTACCAGTGCTTTCCGGAGGTCTCGCACAGCTGGGGCCAGTACTCGCCCTTTTTCTCGCTCGAGAAGGAGGAGAAGGACGACTCACCAGACAGGGACATCCCGGATGGTTGTCGGGTGACCTTTGCGCAGGTGCTCTCGCGTCACGGCGCGCGGTATCCGACGGAGTCGAAGAGTACCAAGTACGCTGCGCTGGTGAAGGATGTGCAGCGCAATGCGTCGTCGTTGACGGGCAAATACGCCTTCTTGAAGACTTACAACTACTCGCTGGGAGCGGATGACCTGACGTCGTTCGGGGAGGCCCAGATGGTGGCTTCCGGTGCGAAGTTCTATGCCCGGTATGCGGCGCTCGCAAGGCGACTCGTGCCGTTTGTGAGGGCGTCGGGGTCAGACCGGGTCATTGCGTCAGGGGAGAAGTTCATCAATGGGTTCCAGGGGGCGAAAAAGCGAGATTCGCACGCGGAGCCGGGGCAGAAGCCTGCCGTCGTTAATGTGGTGATCCCCGAGGGCGAGACGTTCAACAATACGCTCGACCACGCGATATGCAAGAAGTTCGAGGACAGCGAGTACGGCGATGAGGTGGAGGCTAACTTCACGGCGCTGTTCACGCCCGATATCCGGGACCGTCTGGAGGCGGATCTCCCGGGGGTGCGACTCGAGGACGAGGACGTGGTCGGTCTGATGGATATGTGCTCGTTCGACACGGTGGCAGGCGATGGGTCGCAGTTGTCGCCGTTCTGCGGGCTGTTCACGCCCCACGAGTGGGAGCAGTATGACTACATGCAGTCGCTGTCAAAGTACTATGGCCACGGTGCGGGACACCCGCTGGGCTCAGCCCAGGGCATCGGGTTCACCAACGAGCTCATCGCGCGGCTGACCCGATCCCCCGTGCGCGACCACACGAGCTCCAACCAGACGCTCAATGCCGACCCGGCGACCTTCCCCTTGAACTCGACGCTGTACGCGGACTTCTCGCACGACAACAGCATGATATCTATCTACTTCGCCCTCGGCCTGTACAACGGTACCGAGCCGCTCTCGCAAACCAAGTCGCAGACGGCCGCCGAGTCGGGTGGATACTCTGCCGCGTGGACGGTGCCTTTTGCCGCTCGGGCTTACGTCGAGATGATGCAGTGTCAGGGGGAGAAAGAGCCGCTGGTTCGGGTGCTGATGAACGACCGCGTGGTGCCGCTGCATGGCTGCCAGACGGACGATTTGGGACGCTGCACTCGTGATGATTTCGTTCGGGGACTGAGCTTTGCAAGGTCGGGAGGAAACTGGGATCAGTGTTGGGTTTAGAGCTTGCCGGGCAGATGGATTCCGGGTTTTCCTTTCGGTTCTCCATGACATTGTTTCATGACCTTGCAGATACATTCCGGGTTTCAGTTCTTTCATGACTCAATCTTTATCTGGATTGTGTAAATCCACTTGCTTTCTTTGCTGTCTGGTCTGACATTCACCTTGCACATTCAGCCTAGCGTGTTTTCAAAGTGCACACATTCACTGTAAATAGAGTGATATGTCCATCGTCTCGGCGATGGCTCATCAGTTCCTTTACCCTTTACTTTCTCTCGCTTTTTCTTATCATGCTTCTCACATCCTTCATCGATACTCGTTCCCTCATCACCTTTATCGATCCTTATCTCTCGGCGTGCCTCTCAGCGTGCCTCGGCGACGAACACATCCACCCCAACACCCCCATCAAACCAGACCACCATGTCGTCTGACGAAAGATTCTCCATCTCTGAAGAAAACACCTCACCCCCTTCACCTCCAAATGTCACCCCGGCCATCGTGTTGATCTCCCCCAAAGGCATCCACTTCTTCACCCGCTACCGCGCCATCCTGCGCAAAATGAACCGCGACGTCGAGCTCTACTGGGCGCCCAACATCAAAACCCTCAACGGCACCATCCAGAGACACAGTTACCGCATCGCCGGCTTCGTCATCTCCGACGCGGCCATCATGGACCCAGAGCACGAAGAACTCGCCCAGCGCGTCGCCAGTCTCCCACGCACCCCCGGCCGCGAGTGGGCCGTCGTCTTTGCCTTCGACTTCCCATCGCAGGCAGCCCGTGCCCCGTTCCGTTTCAACCAATACATGGAGACATACTTCGGGCTGGGCTGGCGCATGTGCGGCAAGACAGAGAACAAGATCAAGATGAAGCTGCGGACGCTGGCGCTGAGGAAGGTCGCGAAGCGTGCTTACCGGATGGAGTATGAGTTTCGAAGCGTCTTTATCCGCGGTGTCAAGCAGGGTGATAAGTTTCTGGTTACTGTGGGAGAGTTCAGTAGTGGTGGACAGCCGGATGAGAATTTGTTGGAGGAGGAGACTTCTTCTACCGCTGTTGCTGAGATGGGGGATGGGTCTAGCGATGTTGATAGCCAAACTCCCATTGGTCGTCGTCCTGCGCTCGACACCACCAGCCATTTCGCCGTGCCGTCTGGTAACGTCGGGGCCCATGACGATGACGACACGATCAGCGACTTGAGCCAGCACACCGCCGCTGACTTCAACTATCCTGATAGCATTGCTGTTCCTACAGATGACGAGAATAACCTCGCCGACGACGAGGAGAGCATGTTCGACAGTGAGGAAGGCGAGTACATGGGATTTGAACCTGTGCAGCCTATCGCCCCTGCCCATGTCCTCAACCTCCCCACCACCACCAACACCAACCCTAATTCCCAACACCAGCAGCAGGAGCAGGAGGAGGAAGATGAAGAGAACGAACCTTCCCCTACCCCCTCCCCCTCCACCCCCGTCTCCTCCCCACCCAGCCAAACCAACGACCCCGACGTCGAATTCGACCCGGAAAACGAATCCATCGCCACAGAAACCAGCACCAACGGCCGAGTCAGTCCCACCAGCTCCATCGACCCACGCCCAGTAAGCGCCAACCTGCCCTTCCCGCTCCCCCCGCAAACCTTCAACAACCTCCGCCGCTTCTTCGACGCGAACGCCGTCCCGACCACCACCGAGGGCGAAGAGATCTCCACCCCGGACCTCATCCCGCACGACTGGGTGCCATCTGACGACGAGGGCACGGAGGCGGACAAGCAGGTTGCGGATTCATGTGTGGTTATCCATGAGAGTAGGCGTGTGGTTCCGTGGAGGGGCAGGAACTACACTGTGCGTGGGTTTGTGGGGTTTGTGGGACATGTGGATGATAATCGAAGTGTGAGTTCGTTGATTTTGGGCGTTTGTGGGGTTAGGGTCGTGGGGGTTACTACTCATTGAGGGTGATGGGTATGGATTATGGATTATGAATGGATGAACGGATGGATGGGTTTGGTTGGGGAATTATCCTTTGATGTGTTTTGATTTGATTTGTTTTGTGGCTTGGGATCGATGGCGTTTTACTGCACTTACTTGCTGCCCTGCACTCACTGTGTAGTATGTATGCAATGTAAGTAGCGCAGTGGATGGTGGTAGGCGTTCTCGGGGCCATACCCTACTACGCACGTTGCTTGATATTGAAAAGTTCTTCACGCTAGGTAAAGCAGAGCTAAAAAAAAAGGAATCACATGCTACAACTCCTCTACCGTAGTCATACACATATACATATACATCCATAAAATATAGTAGCTATAGTACAAACTGACCATTCAACAAACCAAAAAGAAATCAAAGCCACTGGGATACAGAACCAATCAATCAGTCAAATCGATCACTCTGCACTCTCGTTTCCACTCCCCTCGTTCAACCGTTTCTGCTGTTTATCCCCGTATGCTAGATATAGTATCAGCATTCGTTCTATCTCTCAAAAGTAAACAGACAAATCCATAAACCCATGGATCAATAGAAGGGGAAAAGAAGACAAGAAAAACAAAAAAAAAAAACATACTCCTCTCATACAACACCCAAGAAGTATACATAAAAACCGGCAACGCCACGATCGTCGAAAGCCACCTAGTACTTTGTTAGCACACCTTTTCCATCTATATTGGACCATAACACATCATATAGCATGATACACAGTATAAGGATATGACATTATACAAAAGTAAACAAAAGGAAACATACCGCCTCGCAGCAACCTTATACTCCTTCGTCTGACGAATATCCCTCACCCCCATCCCCGATAGAGGCGGTCTCTGCGTGCGGCGCGCAGACGGCGGAACCGGGACGCCGGGGGTGTGGACTTTGGGTTTTTGTTCTTCTTTCATTTTCTCCCCCTTAGTCTTTCTCTCCTATTCTTTTCTTTCACTCTTTCTTTATGGTGTTCAATCTGTCTTTATTGGCTGTTGTGGGTTCAATTCGATAGGCTGATGCGGATGAGATGATGATGGTTCAAGGGCGGGAAAAGATGATCGACTGATTCGATTGGACCCGTTTGCTTATTCTGCCTGAGGCATTTATTTGTCTACTTGTTGCCTGAGGCACAACATAACATATTATCATATCAAAAGAACCGATGGTGTGAATACGACTACGTCTACGCTACGTTGAGTCTGACTTGGGAAAATCCAACGCGTGCGTTTATCTGTCTATTGACATTGCCCACCCACCCATCCAGTCCACCACCAGGTACCGCCGCCCTCTGTCGGCCCGTGACGTTCCCTATGACATAGGAGAACGCTGGTCCGACGGGGCGGCGGTCCTGGTGGGGAAGTAAGTACAAAACGGATTCCACGATTCCAAAGTGGACAGGAATTCAACGCCGTACAAAAAAAGAAAGAAAGAAAAAGATTAATACATGATAGAGAAAAAAAATCATCATCGAAAGAAAGAAGAAGAAAAAAACAAGAACATCATGGTATGGTGACATAAAAAAACGCGCCGAAATCATACATTGGAGAGACCTGTCCATGTCTTCTGTGTCCGTAGTTTGCTGTGCCCATACTCCCCCAGAAGGACACACTCGAGAGACCCATCTCTTAAGTGGTTGGTGCTTCGGAGAAGAGGGGAAGAGAGAACATGAGGTAGAACCATGGGGACAAGGGTCATGACGGATGGAGAACTAGGGAGGACCGCGGTAGCCGGGTCCGTCTCCTTGATAACTAAACGTCAGACACTCTTTGTCCACCTTCTACCCCTCTTCTCTCTTTTCTTTCCTCTCCTCTTCCACACCGATCCACGTAGAGACGGATCCTCGATGTGAACCTGGTGGAGGATCTGGGTAGCGTAGACCACGAAACACAAAGAACATGAAGAAACCGGGGAGAACAGCAGGCAAGGGGGAGAATGGGCGGGTCAATAGAATATGGACAGGTCACGGAGAACATGATGGGCAACACAAACGCCGTTCTTCGGGAAGCCTTTCGCCATGTCTGCTAAGAGTAGAGATACAATTGAAAAGCATGATGGAGTGCCCGGTCGGGTAGAAGAAGGGTAGATGGCACATAGGAAGTGTAGCCGGGGGGAGTGCAGTGTGATGGTCATGTAATATCCGGCGGATGTGGGGTATGATATGATGCATGAGAAGGCGATGGGAAGATAAGAAGACGGTAGGAGATGGCGGAAAAGATGACGGTAGAGGATGACGGGTAAAGGTAAAGTCTGCTGCAATCGATCGCATCAAATCCGGATGTCGATTGTGTCAACTCTAGACGCCAACCACTGATCGTGTCGTCTAGACTGCAGCACTGTCAAGCTAGACTGCCGCAGCAGTAGCTCCGTCTTCAGGATGCTCAGATCCCTTTCTGCGCGCCGCGCGACGGGCCCTTTCCTCTGCATGGGTCTGAAATCCCGCCATGAGCGCCGCAGCAGCACGACGACGGGGACGCCCACCAGGTGTCTCGCCCAGCGTTTCGTCCTCTACCGGTGGCTCAGCGGGAACAGGAGTCTCCGGAGTCTCCGGGATTTCTTTCTTCGTCTCGTCCTGGGCCTTGTCGTCGGTCTTCTTGTTTCCCGACATGCGCAATGTCACTTTGAGCGGCTTCGCCCCAACGGGGGTGTCATATGCAGAGGTCTTCGGGCTCTTGTGAGGTCGAGACGTAACTTTGTCTTCTTCAGACTCATCGGCTTCGGTACGGGTGCGCTTCTTAGACTTGCTGGGCTTGTCTGACTTGCCAGACTTGGGGGCCTTGGCTCGCTTGCGTTTCTTCGGGGTCTCCTGCGTCTGAGATTGAGGCTCCGATGTGTCTCCATCCCCGTTGCCGTCCCCGTCCTTCTGGCCGTTCTCATCCTTCATGAAAAACTTTAATTTCAATATGTGCTTCTTCTTCTTCTCATCATCTTGGACCTCCGGCGCCGGTGCCGGCTCCGGTTCCGAATCAGAATCAGGTTCAGAGGTATCTTGAGCTGCGAGCGCAGTCGGAACCTCGCCGTTCTTGCGACGTCTCTTGGCTCTGGGTGTGGGTTCAACAGCTTCAGATGTGACCGCAGCTTTCGATGAGGTTTTCGAAGTGGTGGCAGACTTGGTAGACGCCTTCGAAGCAGCTGTGCTCTTCGGGGTGGCTTTCGATGTGGCCGCAGACTTCGGCGTAGCTTTAGACATAGCTGCAGTCTTCGGTGCGGCTTTGGGCGTAGCTGCAGTTTTCGGGGCAACTTCGGACGTGGCTGCAGTCTTTGGGGTCGCTTTGGACGTGGCGGTGATCTTGGGAGTAACTTTAAGTCTGCCTCCAGTCTTAGGGGCAGCTTTAGGGGAAGGTGCGTCCTCGGGAGTAGGAACGACTGGATCCGCTGTATCACGTCGCCTCTTGCGGGAAGCCCGGGTCGCCTTCTCGGAGACGTTACCGTTGACGGGTGTCGGCACGGCGGGGGTCTGGGCCGTCCCATGACGACGCGTAGCCACCGCCGCCTTGATGTCGTTGACATTCCAAGAGCGATCGATCGTGATGCCGAGAGACTTTGCCTCATCTCGCAGTTTGATCTTAGCGAGCTCCGTATCGACATCCTCGACTGTGAAGGGTGCCACCGTCCCTTGCGGCAGATTGCGCTCTCCCATGCGCGGCGGGTACCCGAAGATGCGGTCGCGCTCAACCTGGTCTCGGGCCTTGTATCGCAGCGGGGGCTGAGGCAGTTCATCATCATTGTAGGTATTGTTGGGCCGGAACACCTCAAATTCCGGTCCCACTGCGAACAGCTCCTCGCCGAACTCATTGACTTGACCTGTGAATCGCCACCCGTCAGCGTCGGCGCACACCACCGAGTCAACGGCCTCTCTTTTGGCTTGTGCCCTGGTCCTGTTGCGGCGTGTAGGCGCCGAAGCGCTGGGGGTGGTGTTCGCGGGTGGTGGTTGCTGCTTACGCTGTTCACCTGGCTTCCCGGCATTTTCCGCCACCTGCCCGCCATTCTGCTCCGCGTCGAAATTTTTGCGCATCTCCGCCAGCCATGCGCTGGCCTCTGGCGCGGGTTTGAAGTCTTCGGCCACAGCAGTCGCGGCGATATCGAGGAGACGATTCGCCAAGGCTCTCGCTTCCGCGGAGAGAACGACGGGCGTTCTTTGTGGCGCGGCTGGAGCGGGAGTAGAATTGGAGGTAACCTTGGTATCGGTTGTGGGCTGAGATACAACCTTGGAGGCAGCATTGGGCTTTGGCTTCGCCCTGGGTGTGGTACGGCGCCTGACGCGTTGTTCGGATGCCAGTGATTCCAAGGCGCGGATGGTCGGCTTGCGCACGCGTCCGGAGGTTCGGTTTGCGGTCGATGTGCTTGTTGTCAGGCTCGTAGGGGACCCCGGGGGATCCATCTGACCATCCAAGCCAAAGTTCTTCCCGTACATTTCGGCGTCATAGTCGAAATGGAATCCGTCATCGTAGACGTGCATGGGAGTTCCAGGTACGGTCCCATTTGCCAGTTCCCGGTCATACGGGTGGGCCAATGGAGTTGACAACGCTGCGGCTAGTGCCTTACGTCCCACATTCAACTTGACGGTGTTGCTCGGTCTGGTAGTCCCCTGGGAAGGTGCGCTGGTCCCGTTGGCATCTGGGGTGACATTCGGCTGCTCATCATCCCGGTGTTCGGCCGAGCTAGTGACACCGGACGTGGGGCCTCGACGACGCGTTTTGGTGGTCAGGCTGCCGGGTGTCGACACAGGAGTTTTGCTCACTCCATTGGTAGGTGTCTGTGGCTTGCTTGAGTCGTTGGCCGGGATTGGTTGCGAGCGTACATTGGGAGTCGTGCGGGCTGTGTGAATAGTGGACTTCGGCTTCCGATTGCGACTGCGCGTAGATTGTGGAGTAGAAGCCCGAGATGCGGCTTGAGTTCCTGACATTCCGGCGTCAGATGCCCTGTTGGCCTTGGCCGGCAGGGACTTGCGAGATTTCGGGTTGGCCGCTCTAGTCTTCATGATTGAACTATTTCGTGGTGTAGTGTCTGGATTTGTTTCAGACAGCTCCGCCTGTGCGGTCGGAGACTTTGGCCGGTCTGGCGATTGGTAAGAGATGAAATGGTGCAGCGTCGACTGTGACAGCTCTGGTTTGTCCTGAATGTCCATTAGATGAATTCGGAGGTGGAATGGCATCAATATCTACTCACTTGAGTCACGTTGTCTGTCTTTGGCGACTTTCGGTTTCGGTGACTCTTCTTAGACCTGGTGCTTGAAGCTTGTACTGACGCGGACCGACTTCTCTGGTCAGGAGTCTCGGCAGTCACTTTAAAGAGGACTGAATGTTCGTCGTTGTTGATCGAACGAGGAGTCTTGCGGCGCTTGGCCGATGGGGTGGAGTCTTCGAATGAGGAAGCTATGGGGGTAGGAGGAAGAGAATAAGACGTCTTGGGGAGCGGTGCGGTGTTTAATTCAGACACGCGCGCCACTCTTTGAGAAGCACGAGATGAACTGCGTCGGTTGGTCTTCACAGAATGTCAGAAAGGGTGAGACACATTACTAAGTGAAGATACGAAAGAGAATGAGAGGTACACGAGGGAGATACGACAAAGGGTGAGAAGGTCCTCGAGGATAGGAGGAAGGATGACAGGAATTCCTCGAGGACGTTAAGGAAAGGATGATAGAAAGCCCTCGAGAAAGATATGACAAAGGATGGGAGAAGGTACTCGATGATCACAAAGCAAGATAATAGAAAGAGGGCCTGGAAATGGGATACACAAGGTGGAAGATGGATGTAAAAAAGAAGGATGTGGGATGAAGAGAAAAGTGGGAAGAGATGGATGTAGAGAGACGGATGTACTGACCGGAGAGAAATCAAGGGAAGAGATGGGGGGGCCAGCCTCCCTTTTATATGTTGGTTTTTCAGACACTGCAGAGGTTGACAGCAGTTAGAAATTGGCCATGAGGTCATTGAATTCAAGTGAATAGAATCGACAGTGAAGAAGACAGGGGAAAGGCTGGAGTGACTCGAGGCGACCACAATCAACCCGCCCTATATGGTAATCAAAAGTGAAGCCCTAACACGCCAGTGACAGACCCGGTGAAGGTCCCAAACCAAGGATGTAACACCCAAAAGAGAAATACCACAGGTACTTACTCTTGAACACCAGTGTGTGAATACACAGTCTCCTTCTTTAAACACCAAATGACTGCTGTGTTGTTGCCCGGTGGGACTTGAAGTATGAAGTGATCATGGACACCGCTCGTGGCGGAAGACCCGACAGGGGATGTTGATAGCCACTGTCCAAAGTCTCTTTCACATATGATCTTGTGTGTATATCTCGATATTACCAGCAGGGAGGTCTCCGAAAGTTCTCAAGCGGTTCCTATGTGGTAGACTCCAACATCAGTGAATGGACTTCCAGTGAATATCGCGGACTGGTGAAGGCAAACAGGAGCCACCGGAGACCTTCGGGAGTCACCCAGTGACCGGTGCTCTCCCCACCACCCATCACAATTATCTCAACGTACCCAGGTATGTTCCCCAAGGAGAAAAGGTCAGGTCAGACCAATCCAGTTGGTGTATCCGTCCAATCCGGGCGGGAAGCAGTCACTGGAGGCGACAGGGCGAGGACACGGAACGTCAGAACGGATTGCAGTCGCACTCCTGCGGTCTTTAAAACCACCCGATCATAGGCATGCCGACAAGGATAAAAAGGCGACAAACAAGTCGAACCGAAACTACCCCACGAAATGCAGTGGAGGGGAAAGCGAAGACGGCGTCAGCAGGAGTCGGACGAGGGCAAGAAAGACTCGAGATAATGTTGGCCTGACAAAGTTGATGAGGAAATTAGGGCTTGCTGGGGGAGTTTGCTCCGTTTGGTCGGGGTCACTGGACCGCCGCTAACCCTTACTTAATCCCGCGGCTTATCTTAGTGTATGCTTTGCTTTGCTTCAACTCCCGATCGGACTTGGATTTCCCCATTTGATTTCTCCATCTTCTTCCGTCAGCTCCTTTGGTTGTGTGCTTTGTGCTGGGTGGTCTGCTACCTATTCTCCAGCAAGAATCATGAAGTTGGGCAATTCCCTCCTCCAGCTCGCTTTGTGGGGTGTCGCGGCTCTCCCGACCGTCACTGCGGCCGCCTGGGGGTTTACTGATGCCACCGTGTCAGTTCACACCAAAGGCGCGGGCGTAGGTACGGGATCCAAAGATGTGTATGTCTCAGCATATGGTTTTGTGTGTAGTTTACAATGGTTTGGAACTGATTGATTGGTCTAATTGATAGTATCCCCGATAACAAAGCTCTCTCCAAGCCCGTCGCCCTGGGCAGCGCCGATACGCTGAAAGTGACCCTCACGGCCCAGGAAGGCAGCTCCGCGAAACAAGCCAACCAGGTCTTCTTGCTGCTTCAGGACCCGGAGACTGGTCTGGACATCTCATACCCGTTTTCTGTGAAAAACAATGGCAAATCGCGGTTGGAGCTGGTAAGCAGCGCGCTCGCGGAACCCCATGGCCGGATTGCGATAGGAGCAGAGCTAACCATCCCGTCTCCCTCCAGGCTATGAAGGACCTTCCCCTCCAATTCCTCGCCCCTTCCAAGCCTCTCGAGGCCCGTTTCCTGATCGGATCATTTGGCACCTCCGCCGCCTACAATGGGGTTGCGTTCCCGCTGACCGTCGCCAGGGACCCGAATGAGCCGGTCCCGACGGTCGAGGTGTCGCGATATGGGAAGCTTCCTGAAATTCATCACATCTTCAAATCCGACGCGGAGAGTCCGCCTGTGGTGATTACCTTGGTCTTCGTGGCCATGGCGTTGGCTTGTTTGCCGGTGCTGGGTGGCGTGGTAAGTCAATGCTCTGTCCAATATGTCTCGTTCGCTAGATTAACTGTGGTCTGTTCGCAGTGGCTGTTCCTCGGTGTCAACATCAAACAGCTACCCACGGCCCTCCAGTCGGCCCCCCTGTCCCACGCTACCTTCCTGGGCTCTCTTCTCGCCATCGAGGGCGTCTTCTTCCTGTACTACACCCACTGGAATCTGTTCCAGATGCTCCCTGCGGTCGCGGCGGCCGGAACCGTGGCGTTCGTCAGTGGTAGTCGCGCGCTAGGCGAAGTGCAGGGTCGGCGCCTCGCCGGACTGCGATAAAGGATTACAGCATCCTGTTGGGCAATGGAACTGATGCGGTAATGGAATGGGATGATATTGCACGATCCTAGTATGAAAGCGAGTCAACATTCTATGGATTGCGATGCGACAGAAGCTACGCGTCTCAAGTAAATGGTCAATTGAAGTGTACAGTAGGATTAGACCAAGCCGTTCAATACACGTCCAGCGCGTCTGATCGCCATCATCGTAACAATAGTCCTAAAATCTGATGTACACCGTAAACACCAGCTGACGTCACCCGCAGCCGTCCCAATCGGGGCTAGTCTAGCAGATGGAGCTGCAGAAACATACAACTCCGCTTCATCCATTCAATCTTCCGTCCCAGTAAACCACCAAACATATCTACAACCAGCATCCACCATGGGCTCTGCCGCATCGAAACCCGCGAAGTCCGCTGCGCAGGCAGCCTCGCGACGCCAATATCCCAAAAAGCCCTCCGCACCGCCGGCACCCAGCCCAGCATCGGCCGCACCGCGCTCTCAACCGCACACCACTCCCCGACCCCAGCAACAACCACCACCAGCACCAGCATCAGCACCCAAGAACAACAACACCGGCCCAACCTACCACTCTAAAGAACAACCCTCTACCTCCAAATCCAACGGTACACACCCCCCAACAACCCCACTATACCCTTCCAAAACTAACAAGCCAAACCCAGCCATCGACCTCGACGGCCGAGACCCCGACTTCGCCGCCTCCCTCCGCCACATCGGCCCCGTCAACCCACACCCAACCTTCTCCAACACCAGCGTCTTCCCTACACGCCAGGGCGCACCACAACAACAACACCAACAACCAGGCAGCGCATCGACCGTCTTCCCGCCTGCGACGAACCCCGCCCTGCTGACCGTCACCGCGCGCCAGCAGCTTACCAAGGCCGCAGAGCAGGAGACGGACGCGCTGGGCCGGTCGAATTTTGCGGGGCGCGAGTTCCTGGATACGATGACTATTCGGCAGGTGTTGAATATGCGGGATCGGCAGGGGTTGCCGCCGCGGGAGATTGAGAGGCTGTTGCGGTTGAAGAAGGGGGTGGTGGAAAGGTTGGGGGAGAAGGGGATTGTGGGGGTTGCTTGAATTACTGTAACTGGGGGGGTAAGATGTATTATAGGGCTGTATAATATTGAAATGATTCCATGGTTTGATTGATTGGATTTGGTTTTTCTATGGCTTGGGTTACTTGGGACTAGGCGTAAAAGGCAGACGGTTGGAGTGGGACTTCATGTTCTAGTGAATTATCTGGTGGGTTATTTGGCATGTTGTTTCATCGGGCAGAAATTATCATTAGTGTGTTGGTGATATGTCTATGGGTGATATATACTTTGGTTTGACTGACAAGCATACCACTTAGCTGAATTTGAAAGTCACCACACTTATGATGCCACATCTAGAATAATCGTTGATTACCATTAATCCCTAGTTCAATTCAGTGATACCCCTGTGCTATGACTAGTCCAATATAACTAGATATTTAATGTGACTGGTCAAGCCCTAGCCAAAGCTGAGGATCCAACAGTATAGTGAGTGATAGGGTATAGGAAGAAATACTGATCATGCACAGCATTTAGTTCCTAGGTAGGCAGTGAGTCACTCTGTACTTTGTACTCGATGATCATGGCCACATAGGTGGTATGGTCACACTACTACCAATAAGCACTAGACATTGAACGTGACTATACCATGGAACTAACCGATGTGGTCAGAGCTGTGAAATAACAGGCGAGACTTGTTCATCACTCATCAAACTGATGACTCCTAGATATAGATCACTAGATGTAGTCTTCATTTTTTTGGACCGTTGACTAAGTTATAACCAAGTAGATGGTACTCTGTAATCAGCACCCCAAGTCCTAACGACAGAACAGTGAACCTTATTAGTGAGGTCTCTTGGAAACTCTGATGCAGCAGTCTTGGTACGGAGAAGGACGAAGATACCTTTTGAGCATATGTCATAGTCGTACGCCTTCGATCACACGTGTTGCTATCACTCGAAATATGAAGTCATCAGTAGCTGGATTTTAGGACCTCTATTTCTGTTGAATCCTACTTCTGCAGGTGAGATGTGAAAGGCCCCCCCATGGGGCAGAGCCCTGGACAGTTCCTGGCGACGCATCCGTTGATGCCTCGTTTTGGGCCGATGATGTACGGGATCGTGTTCGGCCACAGCTATGCATAGTATATGAATCCCGATATCGACATAGAACTAGTTGACATTGAATCAAAAACATACGGAGATGGCCGAGCAGCGAACGGTTCCGGACACGTGAGATATGTTCTTGGATGATATAATTCGCGACTGCTGACTCGGGGATGGTTGTTGCACATGAAGGACGTCCACTCCGCTTTCCAGTCGACAATTGTCTCTATACAAGAGGCTTGGACGAGCCGTCAGGGCTGGCATCATGTATCTTGAGTGACGGTCCCAGTAGTCTCGATGATATTCTTCATGGACGTTGCGGGTTCCGTGGCGGAGGGCTGTAGATACCTCTCGTCCGAACGGTAGCTCATGTGCTTCCTTTACTTGTCTGTATATTAATTAGTCCCGATTGGCAAAAGATCTTCATGATGTCCACTCTCTCCACCAAGAAGAGGCCTTGGCCAATCTTCCTTTCCATACGAGTCTGCTCTAGCTGGGTCCACTGGTATGGGGACATGCTGCGCTATACCGTCTAATGGGCGGACTATTGTCAGCACGAGGAATTCGTGGCCAACAGTGTATCCATACCCAGGACTTCTTCCAGATAAATACTGTAGGAAAACCACCATACCGCACCGTAATACCTAAAATCCCAGAGTCGTGATGTTGTAGTGTTATGGCCACGGTCTGTGTCTGCCTCAGGCAACACACTAGCCCGATCGAGCGAGCCGCAACTTCGACCGAGCGGAGAGATCGAGCGACAACTTTGCCATCTCAGTGAGGCTGATCAACTTGCGACAGTTGCTCCCTTTCCCCTGCATCGCCTCCACGATGCCTCCTTTCAAGGATGAACATGTTTTGGTAAGCTTTCTTTTTCCCTCCTGCCCGTTTATTCTCTCCCCACCATCCTTCGCCCCTTCCTCCCACCCACTCACTTCTGTTCATCCCAATTGACTTCGTCCAAGATTATTGCGCCAGGTTCGCAGGTCACCCTGGCGCAACTAGGCCTCCCCGAGTCGTTTACCCCCGCCCGATTCCGCTTTCCGACGCGCATGTTCCCCGCAGAAAAACAGGGCGAGTATGAGCCGTACCGGATCCGTGAGAAGCGCGTCGAAGTGCAACACACCAAGGCCCCCGACGCGCCCAAGAAGGAAGATGTCGAGATGAAAGATGCCGCGCCTCCCGCACCTCCCGCACCCGCCGAGGAGACCTCCACCGCCGCTACGGAGAAGCAAGAGGGCTCAGAGCCGGCACAAGATGGGGAGAAGCAACCGGAGACCACGACTACCGAGGAGGTCATCTACGAGGAAGACCTGACGTCCGATGAGGGCGCTATCCACCCCATCGAGAACGGGCGCATCGTCGACTGGCCCTGCTTCTTTGCCCTCCTGTCGCACGTACACAACACCCTGAGCCCGCCGTTCCACACGCCCATCATGCTCATCGCCGAGCCGGTTTGGTCGGCGCGCGATCGCGAGACTATCACACAGTTCGTCTTTGAGAAGTTCAAGACGCCCGCCTTCTGCTTCATGGATGCGGCGCTAGCCGTCTGCTACGGGTACGGCGTCTCCACCGCTACGGTCATCGACGTCGGTAAGGACAAGGTCGACGTCACCGCCGTGACGGACTTCCTCGTCAACGAGCATGGACGGGGGATCGCGTTGGAAGGGTGCGGTGGAGACTACATGACGGATCGACTGGTGGAGTTACTGGGCACAAGGGGTTTCTCGAGGGAGATGTGCGAGCAATTGAAGCGGAGCAATATCACCGAGATCTTGCCGGCTGGGACGCCAGTTCCCGGCACGGCGGCAACCGCGCGGCAGGGCGTCAACCCCGCCATATCGGCCTCCACCGGAAAGGACGACAATACCAACGACAACACTCCCCGTGGCCCAGGAGAGGGCACCCAGACCGGACAAGAATCCAATGGTGCGGATGAGGAAGACGAGGGCGTGTTGGATGTCGCAGCCATCGTGAGCGGTAACACCAGCGAGTTCCTCGCCAGTCGCGAAAAGGAGACCGAAAATGGTCAGAAGAAGGGCGCTACGGACGCGTCGGGGAAACCCATCCGACTGCCGAATTCGAAACGGGAAAAGGCCCCATTCCAGTTCGAGGAGTTCGTGCGGCTGGAACCCGAGGAAGGTGCCTCGAGCGGCCCGGGGCGGTTCATCCGACAGACCCGTGATATCGAGGTCGGCGTGGAGCGGTTTCTGTCGGCCACGTCCAAGCTCAACACTGGTGACCGGCTGTCCAGCGGAATCTTTGACGATATCGCGACGCAAATCCATCACACCATCTTGGCCGTGCCTGACGCGACGAAGCGGAGTGAGCTATGGGATTCCTTGATCGTTGTTGGCAACGGAAGCAAGATCAAAGGTCGGTTTTATCTCTCATTCCTTCTAACTGTTGATTCCTACGATCAATTTCCGAAACTAACACATGAACAGGATTTACCCAAGCTTTGTTAAACACCATCACCCAGAAGTTCGTCCTCTCCCCGTCCGGTACCATCTTCACTTCCGAAATCCCCTCCAACTTCTCCACGCCTCTCCCCACGGGAGGCACCAACACCCCGGCCCCCACTGGCCAGCCCGGCCCCATGCATCACCCTGCAGGCCACGGGGTGAACCCGCTATTAGTGGCGGCGACTCACTCCAATAACCCCGGGGCTCCTGGAACGCCCTCCATGGACCCCACCGGTGGCATGCACCACCGCTCAACCGGGCACTCCCAAACGCCCACATCCGTCAAGACGCTCAAACCTCCCGAGTACTTCCCCGAGTGGAAAGAACCGAGTGGCACCAACGCCCCCGGCACCGGCACCGCCGGCGGCCCCGGCGGGCCCAATGGCCCAGGGGGTCCCGGAGCGCCCAGCGGCGGGCACGGCATGGAAGAGGCGGTGTTCCTGGGCGCGCAAGTGGCGTCCAAGGTTGTATTCATCGTCGACCAGGGTCTCAGCAAGGGTTTCATGAGTCGGGTAGAGTATAACGAGAACGGACCGTCAGCGATCCACGAGTATGCCCTGTAAATGAACCTGGTTAATGGAAGTCGACGTCGGAAATTGGGTCTAGATGTGCAATCTTAGTTGTCTCATGATTGGAGTTGTTCGCATGTGAGCTCGTCTTTTTGCTTTCCTTTCTTTTTTCTTGTCTTCCGGTTTGTATTCTACGCGGTGGCGTCCTGTCTTAGAAAAGTCGATCCGTCTCAAGACGCCGGTCGGGAGTCTGGTCTAGTTCTAGGTATAGTGTTATAGTGTCTATATGAGATGGCTATTTATGGGGTATAGCAGTGCTAGCAGTCTCCGTATTTAAGCTGTAGTATATAGATCACGTGATCAGGCATTATATAATCGCCCTTATCTTGCCACCCGCGGAGAGCGGATGAGCGCCGCAACTTTCGTCACTTACAACTTCAACAAACACCCCCAAATCCTTTGCATACCATCGCTATTTGTACAACTTACACTCTAGCTGTTGAGTACAGCTCCACGCGCCAAAATGCCCAAAGCCGAAGCCGGCAGCACCAAGGCCATCAGCAACAAGATCAAAGCCGTACGTTCACCAGCCATTGATTGATACAAGATGAAGGAGATACTAACGATGCGCAGAAAGGACTAGGTAGACTCCGATGGTACTGTCAAGCATGTTCGCGACAGATGCGCGATGAGAACGGGTTCAAATGGTACGCTTCCCCCCCCCCGGCTCTCCCTCTATCCCAGCCCGCTACCTCCTCTTCGCAAGACTAACTAACAACCAACCCAACAGCCACGTCCAAAGCGAAAGCCACGTGCGGCAGATCCTCCTCATCGGCGAAGACCCCAAAAAGCACATCGAAAGCTTTAGCAAAGAGTTCCTCACGAACTTCATGAACCTGCTGCGCACATCCCACGGCGAGAAAAAGGTGCAGCTGAACCAGTTCTACCAGACTGTCATCGCAGACAAAGAGCATATACACATGAACGCGACTAAGTGGAAGAGTCTGTCGCAGTTCGCGGCGCATCTGGGCCGCGAGGGCTTGTGTCGGGTTGAGGAGACGGATAAGGGTTTGTTCGTGTCGTACATTGATCGCAGTCCTGAGACGATGAGGCGGCGTGAGGCGGTGCTTAAGAAGGAGAGGCAGGATCGGGGTGATGAGGAGAGGGAGCAGAGGCAGATTCAAGAGCAGGTGGAGAGGGCGCAGCGGGCGCAGCGTGATGCTGCGGGGAGGAAGGAGGGGGGTGGGGAAGAGGTTGCCGTTGCTCCTGAGGCGAGGAATCTGCAGCGGAAGGAGGGTGAGAAGGTGAAGTTGAATATTGGGTTTGGAGGGGCGGCGAAGTCCGAGGCTGGAGGTGCTGCTCCGCCGTCGTCGGGAGAGAAGGATTCTGCGTCTTCGGGAGATGATACTGCCGAGAAGAAAGCTACATCTGTCACACCAGATGCTGCAGCTGCAGCGCCCAATCCTTCAGAATCTCCTGCCCCGTCCGCACCTCCCAAGATCTCCCTCTCGATGGGCGGCGCCAACAAGCCCAAGAACGTCTTCTCAGCGGCAGCAAAGAAGAACCCACTTGCAGGGAAGAAGGGCCCCGTCCTGGAACAGCCGAAGAAGATGTCTGAGCAGGAGCGGATCATGAAGCAGGAGATGGAAACGATGGAGCGAAAGCGCATGCGCGGGTCGTCTGGGTTTCCGAACGCGAAGCGGCCCAAGATCTCTTGATCTGCTATTTGGTCTAGGATGATTATTTTGACTCGGTTACATGATACCTCATTCTGCACGGCAGTGCGCGCCCCGGCTGCGGCTGGATATTGAGTGCAGCATATGATGCAGTGGTTGGGTTTGGTTGGCTATGGCTACCTGGAGTTTACTATTGCGTGCAAAACTAAGGTCCCTACACGCTAGATTTTCTAAATGATACCTACCTTATTTAAAAATATACATGTAATATCAATGTTTATAACCTTCGTTCACGTATAATAATCACGGTAATCATATACAAGTACGAAGCAGACGGTAAGATGGTTCCTACAGAGATACATGTTTCTCTCTACAAAAAACCAATTAATGTACAAATCCACCTGGTTTGATCTCCACAGGTTATCAAATCATACCCCAAAAAAAGAAGAAAAAAAAAAAAAAGAAATTAAGAAAGACAGAAACCCCTCCCACCACTACCAAAAGAAAAACATAACATCCAACCCGAGGCATTCGAGTCCTCAACCATCCAATATAACCAGCCTTAACTACACACAAAATGATTTCCCTTCCTGTAATCACAACCAGAAGCACAAAACATCTATCGCCCGGGTGGTCTAGTGGTATGATTCTCGCTTAGGGATTTAAACCCCAAGCATATCTGCGAGAGGTCCCGCGTTCGATCCGCGGCTCGGGCCGATTATCTTTTTTTCATTCATCTCTATTTTTGCTCTCATTATGTAGTCCGTACATACTTATTAGATGTGGAGTAGATAGAGGGGTAAATGTTGATTCTTTTGGTTTGAGTCATAGCTTTATATGGGTTGATTGAAATTACCCATTTCAGTCTCTCCAAATGCTGCTATGAGTTAACGCACTTCCCAGTGGTTTCGCGACGTCCCCTTGCATGGACGGTCAGACGATAGTGATAACCTGTACCAATCATCAATGATGTATCTACATGCTAACAACTTGCGAAGGAGCAATTTGCAGGTTTAGTGCATGCGGGGGCGCCTTCCTGTAGCTATCTCGGGTTTGTGGACCGAGCTATCTTGAGGCATCTCCATCTATTATTATTTCCTCCACTACTGCTACTCCACTACTCCTACTTCTACCACACCCAATTGAACAGACATCTCTCTACGACCTTATCTACCTACCAACCTACCTCCAATCCCCATTCAACCCACAGTATGACAGCAACAAACGCCACCCTCGCCTTCATCGGCTGCGGTATCCCTCCCTCCCTCTTTCCCCCATCCTACCCCCACCCCCCCTCCAGAAGTTCACCCAACTAACCCAACCCAGGAAACATGGGCTCAGCCATCCTCAACGGCCTCCTAGAAGCCACCCGCAACACCCCCAATCCACCCATCAACACCTTCACCGTCAGCACCAAAACCACCACCTCAGCCGAGCGTCTCCGCGCCACCCTCACCCCGCCAGACCAAGACCGCGTGCGCTTCACCCCCAACGACAACATCACAGCCATGGCCAGCGCAGACATCATTCTGCTCGCATGCAAGCCCTTTCTCGCAGAGTCCATCCTCTCCCAGCCCGGCGTATGGGACGCCGCCAAGAACAAGCTGATCATCAGCGTGATGGCGGGCCCCACGGTTGCGCAAATCCTAGACTACATGCGTCCTCGTGGCAGCGGGCCTGGGGGAGAAGTAGAGTGCGCGGGGAGTTCTCCGACGATAGTGCGCGTGCAGCCGAACGTAGCGGCGCGGTTACGACAGTCGATGACGGTCGTGGAAGTAGACGATGATAGCGAGGAGGGGCAGCAGGCGAAGGGAACGGTGGAGTGGATCTTCAAGCAAGTAGGCGACGTGCGGTTCGTCGCGCCTTCTGTATTCGACGTTTCGTCGCTGTTGGTGGGTGCTTCCATGGCGTGGGGTGCGATTGCGCTGGATGGGGTGCTCGATGGGTGTGTTGCGGGGGGGTTGAGGCGTCCCGAGGCGCTGGAGATGGCGGCACAGACGTTGGCGGGAATGGCGGCGCTTTTGAAAGATGGGGTGCATCCGGCTGTGTTGAGGGAGGGGATTTCTTCGCCGAGGGGGTGTACGATTCAGGGGATCTTGGAGCTGGAGAGGGCTGGGGTTCGGGGGAGTTTTGCGGATGCGCTGTTGAAGGGGGTGGAGCATTTGCAGAAATGATTGTCTCCTTTATTCTTACTTTTTTATATAGAAGTAGAGTATATACCAAACATAGATTCATCATGTTTCTTTCATACTGAATTTCCTGTTATCTACTCGCATGTTGATCAAAGTCAAATCACTGTGGAAATAGTATATATATAAACGGAACACCCCCCGACAACCTCGGAACCCCCTCCCGACGCATAGATACCAACACGAATCTCAGCTCCCACAAGCAGACGAGACGCAGCGCATGAAAGCCCGAAATGAAACCTTACTCCCACCATCCAACCCAATCGGTTTCGGACCCGCGCACCGCCCTTCCTTCTACGGAGGATAACATCTCATCCTGACCCCTCCGTGGCGGGGGAGGGAGAGGGAGGGAACTATAGGTATATAGGTAGATACTGCGCAGATGTGCCCTACGTAGTGAGCATTATAGATAATATCTCCCACCATTCACACGTTTATCCTCGCCATAATGAGACCTAAAATACTCAGGCCTCAGGTGCACTCTGCTGCGGCGGCGCTTGTGCGCTTCGCGTCGGCGTCTTCCTCGTCGTCGTCTGCTCATCAGGGTGTCTTACAGCCTTCTGCTTCCTTGATGGATAAGAAGAAGGTAGAAGAGAAGAAACTGCCGCCTTTGGCTGTCATGCGTACTAAGACACTGGTGCGGTCTTTGCTGTTTACGTCTGTGATGGCGTCGCCGTTACTTCTGAAGTCTAGCCTGTCTGCGTTGAAATTTGTCGTCGAGTCCAAGTCCCCGCTGCTCAGTCCGTCCAAGAACCCGCTTATGAACTACCTTTTGCGGACGACGATTTACAATCATTTCTGTGCGGGGGCCAACGAGGTGCAGGTGCGTGGGACGGTACGCCATATGAAAGACCTTGGCTTCAAGGGGGTTATTCTGGGGTATGCAAGGGAGTCGGTGGTGAGTCTGGAAGACCCGGGCGTGCAGGAGAAGCCACCGGCTTGCCAACAGGCAGTGCTGGACTATGCTATTGAGGAATGGAAGCAGGGGAACTTGCGGACCCTGGGCATGATCGGGAAGGGAGACTTCCTGGGCATTAAGTATGTCTTTTGGCTTGCCGTTCGAAAGCCGCGGGGGGCAATGGTTAACATGGTGATGGCAGGTTCACCGGCGCCGGACCAGCGGCCGTAGAGGCCCTCGCGCGCGGCGACGCCCAACCACCACCGAAGATGCTACAGGCCATTACGGAGATCTGCGAGGCAATTGCCGCACAGGAGTCCCGGCTGTGGATTGACGCTGAGCAGCAGGTCTTCCAACCAACGATCGACGCATGGACTATCGACTTGATGCGGCGGTTCAACCGGAACGGGAAGGTCGTGGTCTACAACACTATTCAAGCCTACCTGAAGGCGTCAGTTGAGAATGTCCACCGCCACTTGACGCTTGCAGCTGCCGAGGGCTGGACTCTGGGGATCAAGCTGGTACGCGGCGCGTACATCGCACACGACCATCGGTCCTGCATTCACGACACCAAGGCAGAAACAGACCGCAGCTACAACCACATCGTCGAAAGTATCCTCACCCGCCAGTTTCCGTTGGATACAGGTCGCTCACAGCTGAAATTCCCTGACACCCGACTGTTCGTGGCGTCACACAATGCTGACAGCGTGCGCAAAGCCTACTCCCTCTCTCGGTACCGACTGCAGAACGGACTGCCCACTGTTCCAGTAGAGGTGGGCCAGTTGCAGGGAATGGCGGACGAGATAAGCTGCGGTTTGATCGCCGAGAACCTCCAGGCCTCCGCCACCGCGGACCACCTTCCCGAGAACCCGGGCGTATTCAAGTGTCTGGCGTGGGGGTCAATTGAGGAGTGTTTACATTTCCTGCTGCGTCGGGCGGTTGAGAACCAGTCAGCTATGGGCCGTACACACGAGACGCTGAAAGCACTCAAACGGGAAGCATGGAGGCGGGTTGGATGGTCTTGACCTCACCCGCAGGGGGGTGTTTCGGTGCAGTAAACCGATTGATTGGATTCCACGTTTGCCGGGGAATGGAATATGGACCGCAGCATTCCCGCAGGTCACACGTTTTCAACACACGCGACAGAGTCTTGCGATGAATGGTTGGGATTGGATGAGTGGTCGTATGTCTGACCACGTCTGCATGGCTGCCAGGATGGATGGAGCGGACCACCGAGCCGAGCTCGGAAGGGAACCCGTTTTCTGGTTATAGATGCTTTTATATCATTTAGATGTTCTTCTGTTTGCTGTCATGTCTTTTGACTCACGTCTATAGCACAGCGATTCCCCGACCAATCCTATCCATGAAGCAGATATAAATACACTGTCTGCTTAAAGTTTGCGTGAAGTTGTCCAGACCGTTTTCGTAGCAAAACCACAGTGTTTCATATTTAGCCTCATGGAAAAAGACCGAGTGACTATAAAGTATCTCTCAAAGTAGGATGAAAGAAAGCCTCGGCGTCTAAAAGACAGTAAGATCCAAAAGCTCCTCTTTGTGAACCGAATAAAGCGTGGTCACCAAACTAATCCCATTTGATATACGAGACCGGGGCTATGTTGTAGGCAGGATCAATTCAAAGTTGCTTAAGCAACAGATCACTCCCTCCCTCCCCTTCTTCATGCCAAATTTCAGACCGAATTTCCGAACATCATCCAGAAACCTCAAGCCCCGTCATCGGTGTTTGATATACCAGTAAGTCGTCTAGAATGTCGGGTTCGCATTGACCAACAACTGCTCGAAGTAGGCCTACCAAGGTATTAAATCAGCAATCCTCCTCGAAGAACAAAAGCAGAAACTGACCTGGAACCACGTCCCCGCCTCCGGAGCCGGCTGTAAGGAGTCGCTATATCCGCAATGCGCATCGTACCGGGTGGCGCTGCTATCCGACGTGCCGTCGCTCTCGCCTCCAGGCTTTACCCAGACAAAGGCGTCAAGAAGCGGATCGCCCGTGTTGGTCGAGAAACGCTCCCCGAACCCAGTCCCGATAACATTGCACCAGTCACCCCAAGCGCTCTGCTTGGTGGGCTGAACGCCGCTTCGTGCTGTTAAAACCGTTAGTTTGATGTGTCTGAGATGGGAAGGGCAGGGTAAAATACAAGTATCCATCATGAAATGTGCTGGGAACCCTGCGTCTCGCAGTAGTGGAGCCAAGGCGTTGATATAACGCTTTTCGTCGCAATTAGAGTTACCCGAAGTGTACGACGGACAGGTTCCGATCGACCAGGCATTGTAGTTAGCGACGTTGGTCGCCAGCCCACGAACTGCCGCCGGTGACCCGGCGTTCTTGTACACTGATGCGTAGAGAGTGGCAGCGGGCCCGACGTTGGCAGCCCAGCCCAGCCAGCCGGCATGGCCTATTGAAACATCAGATTTCTGGTTTGCAATATCTTGAGGGCAAAAGAACTGGCATACCGGCATCAATATACATGGACACATTAGGTAAGTCGAGCTCCTTTAGTGCGTAGGCAACGCATTCCATGTACGCAGTTTGGGCGTTGGCACACTTAGGAACGTTGAGATTGGTGACCAAGTTGGCAAGACTGTCGGGTTCTATCATGATCTCAGCTTTTGCTCGATTGAATGGCGTAAGATACATACCGATTAGTAGAATCGTGTGCACTTCAGAATACTTCACCAGCTGCGCCCGGATGGCGTCGATATACTTCTTGTAATTTGCCACTCCATTGTTTTCGATCGCATACTCGCCATTACTAGCTAAGGCCGCGCAGTCCCGATCTGGTAGATCGTAAACCACAAAGATACCAGCGACCGGAGGGCTAGCACCGGCGGCATTCTGCGCCTTAATGTCGGCCAGGTAAGTGCCCATAGTTGGAACTTTGGCCGCCACATCCCTAAGATTGGTCAACATGCTGTTGGACATCAAGAAAGATCAAGACCCCATCTCTCCCCAGTAGATAGGGGGCCGCATATTCGGCTAGAACCACGATAGGAGAGACATACAGCCAAACAAAAGACGGCACTTTCGCCGCGGCGGTAGCTTTGGCGATCAGCGAGCCGGTCAGAGACGGAATGGCCAGGGAATGAACCTCTGACGAGTAGTACGGGTTGACATAAAGCTGGTATCCACTGAACGGGTTTCCAGACGGTGCAGCCGTTGTGGTGGCTCCCGCGCTGGTGGAGGTACGAGTGGACGAGCTGGTGGTGGTCGTCAGAGTAGTCCTTGAAGTCGTAGAACCTCCAGTTGTCGTGGCCGTTGCGGTAGCTGGCACACATTGCGCGTAATCTGGTTGATTTAGCCACTAGTCTTGACAAAAGATGATTCAAATACATACAGGAGTTTTGCGTGCTACATGCTGCCCCTGGAGGACAGTTTGTTTCACCTGTCCATCCAGTGCCGCCGCCTGCTAGGGTCAGCTATTGCGGTTCTGGACTGGAAAAAAAGAATGCATACATTGTCCCCAGAGGGATTGCTGGGCGTGAATAGCAGGTAGCAGAGCAGATAGCGCGATGTAGATGGCGTGCTTCATGATCGGCGACATGAGGTTGTACTTAGGTTCATTTAGAGAGGTGCTACGCTTGACATTTATACTTTGATGGTTGTAAGAACGGAGATAGAAGCCGTATTGCCGATATACAAGCTTCAATGTACTTCAAATCGGTCTAGTTCATACCGACAACTCTAGGCTGTAGTGGCATAGAACCTATACAACCACAAGAACGGGTCCAGGCCCCATAGTTGACAACAACGAATGCACAAACATGTGGGGAAGCGGGTAATTAGACAGGTCCCCATCAACACGTGGTTAAATTGAGAAACCTTTTGAGAACACTTCTTTGGTTGGCGGATGGCTGTGGCGTCCAGAAAAAGGCCAGTGATCCTCAATTAGGGAAGGTCATATCCGGCATCTGACATGCGAGCTTAATTAATTTAATCTATTGCCGTCCCCGCTCAGCATCCAAACTGGATTCTTCAGGCGAGAGCTGGCTAGATTCATGGGAATTGTCAGCCATCGACTGGGTAATCATCGCGGTCTCGCGGGCCGGTCAGCCTCCACCATGCTCTCAAGATGCACATCTATGACTGCGAGTAGCAGTGCTTTGCTGTTGCGCATTTGCGCCATGTGGTTTATCCCGGATCACCTCGGATCTTAGCCCTTTCGCGCAGGTTGTATTCCTCGGTTATATCTGCCTCAATAGCATTGGGTTGTCGGTCCTGCTGCAACGGTCCTTGTCTTTGGACGTCTGTGCCACGGCGGTCAGATACCATTTGTTGGCCATCCTTTGAAGACCTAAGATTGCCATGAGTTGAATTAGCAAGCTCTGAATGAATTGAGCCCACAGTCGTACCGGATCGTGTTTGAATTCTCGACTCGATCTAAATGTTTGCTCTGCTCATCGTGTCCTTACTCTGAACTTTGATAGCCATCGAGACGCAAACCATGTCATATCTCGAGCACTGCTGCTAAGAAAGACGGAAAAAGATGAGAAATTTTGACATAGAGGAAAACTTCAGAAAGAATACAGAGTACAAGAAGGGAGTCGCGGTGCAGACTACACGGGTAGGTAAATACCACTTTGGGAAATCACCTGTTGAGGCATGTGGATCCCATCAATTCTGAGTCTTTTTTCATTCTCACCTTCCTGTCCACGTCAACTTCCCCTGAATTGCTCTTCCCCACCGATGTACCCGGTTGACTAGCATTCTGCGTCTTCACAGAAAATATCTCACACAGATCGCAATCCGTATCTGGGGCCGACCGACAATCCTAACCACCCTTGCTCACCACCAAATCTTCAGTCTGTACAGCTATGTTGAAGGTCTCCAGTTGATCAATCGGTTCGATCGTCGCGCTTGCGTCAATTCTGTTTTACCTCAAACATGTTCATTGGATAGGATGCGATGTGTAAAGATTTCAAAGGCCTGCTGACTCGTAAAGGCCTACATATATTAAGGAGAGATCCCCACGAGGCTTGGCCATGGAGCTCGAAGTAGCTAGCAATGTTTCACTACCCCAACTAAGCGTTCAACACTCGATCGATTGTGACGATCTGCCAGAGAATCTGACGACCAGGACCCATTCATTACCAACAAAAATGGCCCCACAGTACGCTGCGTTGTGGTGGTATACACTGGGAACTAAGCAAACCCCGTCAACCCGAAACCGAACTGTGTCTCACGAAGCGAACTGTGAACTCCACTTTTCCACGGCACTGGAACTACCCCTACTAGGCCACACCTACCATTTTCGATCGCATCGATTCAACCAAACTCGAGGCGCCCGAGTCAGAAAACACGGGGTCAATGTAACCTGAGGAGAACGGTGTGGTTTTCGCGGCAGCGAAAAGCTTACCCCATCGACCGGCGCCATGACCGTCGAATCATAACCACCGGTTAGCGTTTCAAATTGATGACACTGCCGATCAATGCAATATGCGCCCGGCAGTCGATATTGATCGTTGAGCCATCGGCCGTGGGTTCGCAGTGATCTCAGGGACATAAATCGGGACAGGAATCCTGCCATGGCTGGGAAGAATTAACCAAACCATCACACACTCTCTTACATCTCATCTGTAACATATCTTTGGTCGCTGCGCGATTTCAAATTTCTCTCCTTCGATTTCTTTTGCCCAACCAGAACATTCATTCAATTGATTTGAAAAACTATCCACAATGAAGACTTCCATCCTCAGCCTCGCCCCCCTCCTGGGCCTCACCAACGCCCTTGTCGGTCTCGGCTGGGACGCGGAGAACGTGCCCGAGGAGGGTCTGAAGGACATCACCTTCCCGATTGCCATCCCGGAAGCCACCCACGAGAGCGGCTACTACTTCGCTCAGCAGTACAACTTTGTGGGCGTCAAAGACGTCGGCTACACCGGCCTGCAGCCGCGCCCCAACGAAAAGAACGGCACGAGCATCATGCACGGCGTGTTCTCCAGCTTCGTCCCGGGCACCACCACCGACGACCCCAACTGCAGCGAGGGCGCCGACGGCGGCCCGGGTGTC